GGAAGGCAAAAACAAAGAAAGGATTTTAGAAAAGGGCTGGGAATTATTCACTGGGCTTCTTTGTGTTTTTGGACGTGACTCTGGCACCTGTTCGGAAGCCATGTCGACAGATTTTGAGCCAGACTGCATTTGGGTAAGAGATAGTTGTGCATGCTTGTTCTTTTAAGTGAAGCTTCACTAAGTTCTGCATTGATGATTCTGTACACTTATTGATTCAAAAATGAAAAGAGCTAGTTCGGTAACAACTGTAGCAGGCAAGCTAGTGGCTGGTAGGCTACAGCATGTTGGATCATGCTACAGTAGTTAGCGGAATATTTTGTAACTTTTGTAAACCATATTGTAACTTTTGTAAACTGAAAGCACACTGTAGGGTTAAAGTTTTTTATATAAAAACACAACACCTTGACTCTGGACAATATCATATAAACTGCTTTCCCATAAAAAGCATTCTGCTGCCAACAGTGCCAAACATGTCTTGATAAGCCATGGCTGTGTGTAGATTGTGTGCTTTTTTGTGTGCTTGCATGAACTTGCTGCAACTAATGTGCTTCCCCCCCCTTCACTCCTTACATCCTATTTCCGCCCATGTAATTTCACTGAGGCAGAACACACGGTGTGTGAGTGCACACGCGTGTATATGGCTTAAGTGTGTGTAGGCATGTGTGTTTGTGTGTAGGTATGCGTGTACTATTTTGAGTGTGTATACCTCCCTCCATCTTGCCTCCCATCCATCTTCTGTGTCTCCCGGCCCCCTTCGCCTTAAATCCCCCCTTTGCTTTTCAGTGATGGTGTCTAGGGGGGAGGCGGGGGGAGAGTGAGAAGTGCAGATGGTCTAGTCATAGAGAGAGAAAGAGAGAGAGAGAGAGGTAGGGTGAGAGAGGCAGAGAGTGACCGGGTGAGCGGCGGGCTTTTTTGGCAGGGTCGGCCGGTGGGAGGGCCCATTGTGATGCAACGTTGCATAAATAATGCCACAGGGCTTCTGAATGCTCCGTTGCCGTGGGGACCTTTGTGCCTGGGTGAACACTGTGTGTGTCTGTGTGTGTGTGTGTGTCTCGTGGCCCCCAAGGAGAGAGAGAGAGAGCGCGGCAGAGTTGCAGTCAGCTCAAGTGACACCAGAGTCTCTCTATGTCTCTCTGCCCCTCTCTCACTTGCTGTGTCTGATCCGGGACAGACGAGTGTTTGGAGGAGGGAGAGGGAGCGTTGTTGTTGCTTTTTGACAAGGAGGGAGCTAAATAAAAGCAGGATACTTTGGGAATTTGCTTTTGCAGTATGGTCCATGTGAAGGTACGTGGAATCACTCCTTTTTGTATTGATCTTTTCATTGTTTTTGCCGCCTTTTTTCAATTTGTCTGAATTCATCCGATCATGCCTGATCCTCTGCAGTAACAGGTGTCTGCCTGTCAGTACTGAATCAGAGGGAGAAGTGATCAGAGGGGCAAAGGGGGAAAAGGAGGGAGCTTTTGTTTGGATGCTTTCAAAAAAAGCCTTACAAGTGAATTCTCACGGCTCACCATCCAGCTAGTTAGTCAGCTCGCTTCAGCCTCTATGCACTCAGCTGTAGCAGCACCAAACAAGCAAACAAACAAAGCAACACAGGCGTTTCATCTTTCCTCTATCTGCTCCGGAGAAGATGCCACGAAGTAGGTTGTTTTTTCTCGCTTTTCTTGCTTCTACATCAGCTGATTAGGGTGGTTAGATTGATTTGATTTGAAAAAGTGAAATCCCACGGGGACAATCTTGTTGTTGTCTTGCAGGCGGCGATGTTTGAGATACAAAAAGTGCAGTTCTTAACTCTGTGTGATGGCTGTTCTTGCATCTTTTGAGCAGCTTTGTAGCAAGTGGCTGGTTTGTGTTTGCAACTTATCAAAGGAGAACGGCTTTTATCTTCAAATGAGCCTTCAGCAGGGAGATCATAGACACTCAAATCATCCATGTGTTTCTTGCAGATCATTGTCTCCACTAAACTTTAACATTGTGATGATTGATCTTATGGCCACTTACAGATAAAAAGGTGAAATTATTTATAAATAGAGCCAACTCAGCACACTTAGTTAAGTTAGGTGTTTTTGTTGTTGTTAACTCTATCTCTTGAACATCTATATTTTCATCCGCAGTGCAGTGTAGACACATCTATGTATCATCATGTTTAGGATGGAGAGTCTGCATGTTGCTCTCACAGTATTTAAACTTGGGAGATTGTTCAGCTGTGTGTGTGTGTGTGTGTGTGTGTGTGTGTGTGTGTGTGTGTGTGTGTGTGTGTGTGTGTGTGTGTGTGTGTGTGTGTGTGTGTGTGTGTGTGTGTGCGCGCATTAGAGCACGTTAACAACAACAGACTGTTCTGCATTCACACCATTTTCAACTGACAGATGTCTGAAACTTCATCTCACCTTGAACTTTGAATAAATCCTTTGTTTATTTTGCATGCCACCACAGTCAACAGTAAAAAATAACTTTTGCAAAATCATATCAACACACAAGTCGGCAAGCCTGAAACATGTTTACACTCTCAAACATTCGGTTATTAAAAAGCAAGCATTTTGTGAAAATGCATGTGTTTTGGGAAGTAGCCAAACGTACGATAAACAGTAGTTTGGCTGTTGTTAAACCCCATTTACTTCCATTCAAGTAAATGGGGGTGGCTGCGAGGGAGTGCGGTCATCTTTCAACCAGAAGGTTGTGGGTTCGATCCCAGGCAATGCAGTCAACATGTCGATGTATCCTTGGGCAAGATACAGATACCCTGAGTTGCTCCTGATGGCATAGCCAACGGT